ATAATATGTACAGAATGCCACTGATGGAATCGATGTATGCCAGAAAGTTCCGTAAAATGTTTTACAGCTGATTATGCATACGTGCTACACGTTTCAATTAACAATCCATTCCACAGAAACCATTGCCTAAAGATACCCAGTCAACGTGTCACCATGTTCAAACAGACAAAACCATAAAACATACAGAACATAACTTGTATTATTTAGATTACTTAAATCACATCTGACTGCCTCATGCTAACATGTTCACACAATTATTGATTTTCCTTTTTGAACTTTTAATAATATTCCATTTGTATGACTTGTCATAAGATGCGCTGTCGTGTTTTGCTTAAACACAGCATTGAAGTAGACAGTGAATCTCAATTGGTTTTAGATTGCCGAAGTGACAGTAACGTATGCACATAAATCAAGCAATCAATGGTTGACAGGGAACGTGATGGTGTGTCGTGTAGTCCATATGCACTGCCAACACATCCTATGAACATCAAAGCCTGTTACTCCGTATGATCTGCAGGCAGTCTTCGGTGATTTCATGTTGTAGTGGTATTTAATGGTGCCGGTCGCATACGATTATTTAAAGCTACATTTACAGAAAATAACAGATTGATTTCTGGGTCGATGGAGAGACTCCTTCTGTAACAGTACTGCTGGATGTTTGAAGTAACCGTTATCTAAATACAATGACCCGGTCTGAAATGTCCACATCAGTATTGCTGCCGTCACGATCATCCATTGACGGCTTAAAACTAGCTGCATAGGTTATACCGTGTGGACGTCTTGTGTTTTAATCTCAAGTTTGTCCCACAATACCCATTGCCTGCCTGGAAACGCACCACTCATTCAACAGTATTCCCCGGCGTTTTGTATCTCATCTTTCTCCTCCCATCCGGGTTCTCTGCAGAAGAGAATGGATATGAGAAGCGCACTCAGTAATATGAATCATCTCATTGGTTGATTTTGTTCATTAAATAAAAGGTTTGGCGTCAAGCCCTGTCCCAGTATATGGTATGAGATAACAAGGATCCCAACATCTCTAGACAGTCATCCAACATACCACTAAGCGGGTCTTGGTAACAGGACTTAGTAAACAGTTAGTACAATAAATGAGACTGGTTTTTTTCAGACAGTTAGCGTGACCATTAACGCCTGAAAATATTTTATTGATTGTCAGTGTTGCATGAAAAGAGGACGATCAATTTATGTCATTTAATACTGGCATGCGCATACCATCTAATTTAATTACACCAGTTGTGGAACACTGTCCCAAATACCACTTACCAGGGCTTGGCATCCTGCGCAAGAGAGAGAGAGAGGATGCATCGTACGATCACGAGCTCTGAGTTAACATGTATGCACCTCGCCTAGAAATTTTGTTTGGTTTGTCTAATTTCAACGTGACACTCGTATGTTATTTATGTATTAAGTAATCCTTGCGCTGATAACCGATTCGACTTACAGTTACAGTGTATGGCAAGCGAGGTGGTGAGTATGGGTCTTCTGACAATTCACTGTCACATTGACCTACTTTCGTGACTTCGCTCTCATTATCTGCCCTATCGCTGTAACGGAACCTCTTGCTTAATGAAATCTCATCTTAACCAAATTGTCACGGCGCATGAACACAACCAACTCTGTTTCTTTCACGGTAGGCTATATGTTCATCATATATAAGGTTCGTTCTCACCTGAAACATATTATGCATTTATTTTTACATTCACCAAATCATAACTTTATTTTGATTGCTGACTGTGTCTTAAAACAACCAGCACAACACACACCTTCTGAAATATTTGGTTATTATGACACGTGGAACACACGTGGAACTCATCGCAGGAATGCTTACTCGCACCCTTACGTTTACTTACACGTGCAACACACCTTCAGTATATTACACATATGCACCACACGTCATGTAACATGTGCGTGATGTCGTATAACAATGTACACGCGCATTATGTGCCAACTGATATTTTTCAACATCTGTCTAAATGTATGCACATTATATCTCTATGCATGCTATATGTTGTCGCGTTTTATGTCAGTGTTACTTTTCGTCAGATTGTTGTCGTGGTCGGTGTTGCTGTAGATGGTACATTATTAATATATAGCTTGTGTATGTTGTTGTAGACGTGGGTGTTGTGTCGCAACATCTGTAGATAGTAATGTTGAAGCCAGTGCTGTACACGAGCACAAGGATGTGAGTGTGTGAGTGAATGGGTGAGTGCGTGAATGCGTGCCTGAGTGATTGAGTGACTGGCAAACAGGTCTCCGGTGCCGCCCAAGGGACGCAACTCTGCACAGCAAGTTGCGACTGCTCTCCCTTTGGACACAAGATCACTTTCTAAACTATAACAGCTGTAATTGAAGCTGGGCAGTGTCTAAATCATGAAACACCGCGCTTGTGGCATACCCTGTGGACAGCATTATCATTTAATATAATTAATAATACTTCATGACTAAATGACAAATGTGCTCACTGCTGAAACTTTAATTAAGACATTTGTGGCTTTAAATAATACAACACAACTGTCTCATCATGCATTTTGGACCCAGAGAGATCTATTTTGTCAATATCTGTATTACACGTTGAGACGCATATACTATCGTGAAATACTCTTCTATGTGTGGTACAAATGTCATTGTGTTTGTTGCAGGACGGGAGAGCAGGCTGTGGATCCTAAACGCTACTGTGAGCGACATGGGCAAATATGTCTGCTCGGCCGAGAACAGGTTCGGCACCATCTACAACTTTGATGCTCAGCTATACGTCAAATGTACGTCATATGGAAACCAGTCTCCGGTTCTTGTCTTCTTGTGATACGTCATTGTTACGTGTTAATGAGGGGCGGTGGGGTAACCTGGTGTAAGCATTCTCTTGTCACTCCAAAGACCGGGGTTCGATTCCCCACTTGTGTACAGTGTATAAAGCCCACTTCTGGTGTCCCCCGCCGTGATAATACTGGAATATTGCTAAAAGCGGCATAAAACTAAACTCACTCACACGTGTTAATGTGTGATGACATATATCGTACGTCAGTGGTTTGCTGCCCATGTTATCAACCACTAATTTTGTCTGGCCCCCAATCCGTTTCTTTAATGTTAACGTGGTATAGCGTTAAAACTGCTAACTATGGGGCCAAACTACATTCACTGAGTATTGTTGCCCGTGCTGTTAATGTCAAATCTTGAAATAATGATCCCGCATTGCGCAGTGTAACCAGTTTTAACACTCATCAGATTGAAAAGATTAATGTTTTTATCTTGGTTCGGGAAATTGCTTAAGAACGTGATTACGTTATCTTCGAGACTCCGGAGGAAATTACTCATTTAAATTTTTCATTTGTATGATTTGTTGGGAAAGGTATTTGGTTTTAGACGTGGTTGATTCTATATTTGTTCTCTGAAATGAAAGCCAGCTTCAAGTGGGAGTATATGGTGTATTGAACCAATAACATAAATAACAAGGCCGTTATTCTGAGTGAGTGAGTGTGTGATTTGGGTTTAACGTCGTTCTCCAGTTGTACCACTGCATTTCAGCGTAATATGAGAGGAATGGCGGAAGTGAGTGAGTGAGTGAGTGAGTGAGTGAGTTTAGTTTTACGCCGCACTCAGCAATATTCCAGCTATATGGCGGCGGTCAGTAAATAATCGAGTCTGGACCAGACAATCCATAGATCAACAGCATGAGCATCGATCTGCGCAATTGGGAACCAATGACATGTGTCAACCAAGTCAGCGAGCCTGACCACCCGATCCCGTTAGTCGCCTCTTACGACAAGCATAGTCGCCTTTTGTGGCAAGCGTGGGTTGCTGAAGATCAATTCTACCCCGGATCTTCACGGGCCATGGCGGAAGTGATGCGGGTCTCAACTATGGTGAAACTCACAAATACATGTATAGTGCTGGCAAACCTAGAAACATTCAGGCGACGTGGTATTCGATCCCGCAATCATTGGTTTCTGGCGTACCCAAGGGACGCAACTCAGCGGAACCTCCCTTACCCCGTTACTATTAGGGATGCATTTAATATTTGAACATGAAATAATTCAAGATGTCATATCTTTACACCCCATTTTTTGTTCCGCCATGTTCGGCTTTCATAAAATATTGTGCATTAATCATGTGCATTTTAAAATTGCCAGTGAGGAAATATCCGCCTGAATTTACGGAGTTTCCCAAAGATGCTTTTGTGAAGCCCGGATCGAGCATCACACTGTCATGCGCAGCAGATGGCGAGCCTAAGCCAACGATACGCTGGTTTGTTGACAATACCTATGTGGAAACAACGGAGATTTCTACTGGGCGAGGACAGCTCGTGCTGCCGGAGGTGTATGTGTCGGCTTTGTACACGTGCGAGGTGGAAAACATCAAGGGGAAGGACAGTATCGATGCCCGCATCCAGATCGACAGTACAGGTGAGAACCTACGTCCAGAAATCTGATGTTCCTTTGTATGTTTGTTGTAAAACGTCGCACTCAGGATTATTCCAGTTTTTTGGCAGCAGTCCGAAAGAAGTCGAGTCGGGACAAGAAAATCTCCAGGTTTCTGATTCTGAAACTAAGTGTAGAATACCAACAGAAATTCCTGTCTTGAGTGTAAATGCCAATCGACTAAGATTTTGTTGGTTGGTTTGTTGTTTAATGCGGCACTGGGTCGGTAAGTAATCAAGTCTGGACCAGACAATCCATAGATCAACATCATGGGCATCGATCTACACAATTGGGATGCGATGACATGTGTCAACCAAGTCATCGAGCCTGACCACCCGATCCCGTTAGTCGCCTCTTACGACAAGCATGGGTCAATCAAGCGAGAGCTATTGTGAACAGAAACTGTAATGCACAAAAGAAGTTAAAGCAAAATATGCTTTAGTTTATCTGTCGAAGAACATGTCATGACAGCTTCTTAAAAGTATTGTGTGATGAAAGAATTGAGTTAAGCTGTTTTTTCTTGTGAGTAGTAGGCTTTTCGTATGTGGATCAAATTGCCACGGCGACATGGTGCTTCGAAGCATCTCACTTGGTACTGTGGAGTTGTTTACCTTAGCACTGCAAGGATCCACTGTTGTGGGTCCTTCGTGTCTTTTGCCTACTCCAAAGCTGATCTGATTTCATTTAGGCTACCGTGCCTTAAAATAATTGGAATAATGTTCAATTGTGTAACATGTAGATATTATTACTGTAGACATACTTTCGGACTGTGCGCGTAGCCTACTTGTTAGGGTGTTGAATTTGAAGAACACTTAGTTTCAGTTCAGGCCTTATCTCACGTGATCAACATGCTATTGCAAGAATAATAAGTTGTCATGGAATATTTGTGAACTAAAGTTTCAACCGCAAATGTGATTTAAATAGTTCCTCGCAAATTCAAATTTTCAACATGAACGTAGTGCGCACTCGTGTTGTTTCTGTCTACAGTTAAGTTCAAGGGCGTCATTCTCCAGAAACCCATGGCAAAAGCAGTGGTAGTTGGAGACTCCGTCAGCTTCTTCTGCCACGGGGTGGGACAGCCCAAGCCCAATGTATTCTGGGAACGGAACGGGAAGCGACTGTCCCGCCAGGACTTTGACCAGACCTACTACCTGGAGGAGAGAGACGGGATGTCGGTGTTGGAAGTGGGGAAAGTTCAGGAGAGACGTGATGAGGGCACCTTCTCCTGCACTGTGGAGAATGACCTAGGCTACAGTGAAGCGGCCACAACACTTACAGTTTACAGACGGAACGGTACTGACATCATACTCATGTTAATGATAATGAGGAAACTAATAGTGGGTGTTTAACACCGCAGTCAGCCATGTTAATGGTGTGGACTTTTTAAAGCTTAGTCTGAAACATGCAAACCAGAGAGCAAGTCACCAAACCTGACCACCAATGTTAGATTTGTTTCACTCGATTACGTGATACTATCAACCATGATGCAATGCTCTAATACCCGAATACATCCACATTAATAATGGAATGTGATAGTGGAGCCTCTTTGGGGTTTTCCATTCCCTAAGTCGGCGCAGACCTTTAAATCGTTTACATAATTCCAAGGACAGACCTCTAAATCGTTTACATAATTCCAAGCAAAGACCTCTAAATCGTTTACATAATTCCAAGCACAGATCTTTAAATCGTTTACATAATTCCAAGCACATACCTTTAAATCGTTTTCATTATTCCAAGCAAAGACCTTTAAATCGTTTTCATAATTCCAAGCACCGACCTCTAAATCGTTTTCATTATTCCAAGCACAGACCTTTAAATCGTTTACATAATTCCAAGCACAGACCTTTAAATCGTTTTCATAATTCCAAGCAAAGCCCTTTAAATCGTTTTCATAATTCCAAGCAAAGACCTTTAAATCGTTTACATAATTCCAAGCACAGACCTTTAAATCGTTTTCATAATTCCAAGCAAAGACCTTTAAATTGTTTACATAATTCCAAGCACAGACCTTTAAATCGTTTTCATAATTCCAAGCAAAGACCTTTAAATCGTTTACATAATTCCAAGCACAGACCTTTAAATCGTTTTCATAATTCCAAGCAAAGACCTTTAAATCGTTTACATAATTCCAAGCACAGACCTTTAAATCGTTTACATAATTCCAAGCACAGACCTCTAAATCGTTTACATAATTCCAAGCACAGACCTCTAAATCGTTTACATAATTCCAAACACAGACCTTTAAATCGTTTTCATAATTCCAAGCACAGACCTTAAAATCGTTTACATAATTCCAAGCACAGACCTTTAAATCGTTTTCATAATTCCAAGCACAGACTTCTAAATCGTTTTCATAATTCCAAGCACAGACCTCTAAATCGTTTACATAATTCCAAGCACAGACCTTTAAATCGTTTTCATAATTCCAAGCAAAGACCTTTAAATCGTTTTCATAATTCCAAGCAAAGACCTTTAAATCGTTTACATAATTCCAAGCACAGACCTTTAAATCGTTTTCATAATTCCAAGCAAAGACCTTTAAATTGTTTACATAATTCCAAGCACAGACCTTTAAATCGTTTTCATAATTCCAAGCAAAGACCTCTAAATCGTTTTCATAATTCCAAGCACAGACCTCTAAATCGTTTACATAATTCCAAGCAAAGACCTTTAAATCGTTTACATAATTCCAAGCACAGACCTTTAAATCGTTTACATAATTCCAAGCACAGACCTCTAAATCGTTTACATAATTCCAAGCACAGACCTCTAAATCGTTTACATAATTCCAAGCACAGACCTTTAAATCGTTTACATAATTCCAAGCAAGGACCTTAAAATCGTTTACATAATTCAAAGCACCGACCTTTAAATCGTTTTCATAATTCCAAGCACAGACTTCTAAATCGTTTTCATAATTCCAAGCACAGACCTCTAAATCGTTTTCATAATTCCAAGCACAGACCTCTAAATCGTTTACATAATTCCAAGCAAAGACCTTTAAATCGTTTACATAATTCCAAGCACAGACCTTTAAATCGTTTTCATAATTCCAAGCACAGACCTTTGAATCGTTTACATAATTCAAAGCACAGACCTTTAAATCGTTTTCATAATTCCAAACACAGACCTCTAAATCGTTTGCATAATTCCAAGCACAGACCTTTAAATCGTTTACATAATTCCAAGCACAGACCTTTAAATCGTTTACATAATTCCAAGCAAAGACCTCTAAATCGTTTTCTTAATTCCAAGCACAGACCTCTTAATCGTTTACATAATTCCAAGCACAAACCTCTAAATCGTTTTCATAATTCCAAGCACAGACCTTTAAATCGTTTACATAATTCCAAGCACAGACCTCTAAATCGTTTTCATAATTCCAAGCACAGACCTCTAAATCGTTTATATAATTCCAAGCACAGACCTTTAAATCGTTTTCATATATTCCAAGCACAGACCTTTAAATCGTTTTCATCATTCCAAGCACAGACCTTTAAATCGTTTACATAATTCAAAGCACAGACCTTTAAATCGTTTTCATAATTCCAAGCACAGACCTTTAAATCGTTTTCATAATTCCAAGCACAGACCTCTAAATCGTTTACATAATTCCAAGCAAAGACCTCTAAATCGTTTACATAATTCCAAGCACAGATCTTTAAATCGTTTACATAATTCCAAGCACATACCTTAGAATCGTTTTCATTATTCCAAGCAAAGACCTTTAAATCGTTTTCTTAATTCCAAGCACAGACCTCTAAATCGTTTTCATAATTCCAAGCACAGACCTTTAAATCGTTTTCATAATTCCAAGCAAAGACCTTTAAATCGTTTACATAATTCCAAGCACAGACCTCTAAATCGTTTTCATAATTCCAAGCACAGACCTTTAAATCGTTTACATAATTCCAAGCACATACCTTTAAATCGTTTTCATAATTCCAAGCAAAGACCTTTAAATCGTTTTCATAATTCCAAGCAAAGACCTTTAAGTCGTTTACATAATTCCAAAGCACAGACCTTTAAATCGTTTTCATAATTCCAAGCAAAGACCTTTAAATTGTTTACATAATTCCAAGCACAGACCTTTAAATCGTTTTCATAATTCCAAGCAAAGACCTCTAAATCGTTTTCATAATTCCAAGCACAGACCTCTAAATCGTTTACATAATTCCAAGCAAAGACCTTTAAATCGTTTACATAATTCCAAGCACAGACCTTTAAATCGTTTACATAATTCCAAGCACAGACCTTTAAATCGTTTACATAATTCCAAGCACAGACCTCTAAATCGTTTACATAATTCCAAGCACAGACCTCTAAATCGTTTACATAATTCCAAGCACAGACCTTTAAATCGTTTTCATAATTCCAAGCAAAGACCTCTAAATCGTTTTCATAATTCCAAGCACAGACCTCTAAATCGTTTACATAATTCCAAGCAAAGACCTTTTAAATCGTTTTACATAATTCCAAGCAAAGACCTTTAAATCGTTTACATAATTCCAAGCACAGACCTCTAAATCGTTTACATAATTCTAAGCACAGACCTCTAAATCGTTTACATAATTCCAAGCACAGACCTTTAAATCGTTTACATAATTCCAAGCAAGGACCTTAAAATCGTTTACATAATTCAAAGCACAGACCTTTAAATCGTTTTCATAATTCCAAGCACAGACTTCTAAATCGTTTTCATAATTCCAAGCACAGACCTCTAAATCGTTTTCATAATTCCAAGCAAAGACCTTTAAATCGTTTACATAATTCCAAGCACAGACCTTTAAATCGTTTTCATAATTCCAAGCACAGACCTTTAAATCGTTTACATAATTTCCAAGCACAGACCTTTAAATCGTTTACATAATTCCAAGCACAGACCTCTAAATCGTTTACATAATTCCAAGCACAGACCTTTAAATCGTTTTCATAATTCCAAGCACAGACCTCTAAATCGTTTACATAATTCCAAGCAAAGACCTCCTAAATCGTTTACATAATTCCAAGCACAGATCTTTAAATCGTTTACATAATTCCAAGCACATACCTTAGAATCGTTTTCATTATTCCAAGCAAAGACCTTTAAATCGTTTTCATAATTCCAAGCACAGACCTCTAAATCGTTTTCATAATTCCAAGCAAAGCCCTTTAAATCGTTTTCATAATTCCAAGCAAAGACCTTTAAATCGTTTACATAATTCCAAGCACAGACCTTTAAATCGTTTTCATAATTCCAAGCAAAGACCTTTAAATTGTTTACATAATTCCAAGCACAGACCTTTAAATCGTTTTCATAATTCCAAGCAAAGACCTCTAAATCGTTTTCATAATTCCAAGCACAGACCTCTAAATCGTTTACATAATTCCAAGCAAAGACCTTTAAATCGTTTACATAATTCCAAGCACAGACCTTTAAATCGTTTACATAATTCCAAGCACAGACCTCTAAATCGTTTACATAATTCCAAGCACAGACCTCTAAATCGTTTTCATATAATTCCAAGCACAGACCTTTAAATCGTTTTCATAATTCCAAGCACAGACCTTAAAATCGTTTACATAATTCCAAGCACAGACCTTTAAATCGTTTTCATAATTCCAAGCACAGACTTCTAAATCGTTTTCATAATTCCAAGCACAGACCTCTAAATCGTTTACATAATTCCAAGCACAGACCTTTAAATCGTTTTCATAATTCCAAGCAAAGACCTTTAAATCGTTTTCATAATTCCAAGCAAAGACCTTTAAATCGTTTACATAATTCCAAGCACAGACCTTTAAATCGTTTTCATAATTCCAAGCAAAGACCTTTAAATTGTTTTACATAATTCCAAGCACAGACCTTTAAATCGTTTTCATAATTCCAAGCAAAGACCTCTAAATCGTTTTCATAATTCCAAGCACAGACCTCTAAATCGTTTACATAATTCCAAGCAAAGACCTTTAAATCGTTTACATAATTCCAAGCACAGACCTTTAAATCGTTTACATAATTCCAAGCACAGACCTCTAAATCGTTTACATAATTCCAAGCACAGACCTCTAAATCGTTTACATAATTCCAAGCACAGACCTTTAAATCGTTTACATAATTCCAAGCAAGGACCTTAAAATCGTTTACATAATTCAAAGCACCGACCTTTAAATCGTTTTCATAATTCCAAGCACAGACTTCTAAATCGTTTTCATAATTCCAAGCACAGACCTCTAAATCGTTTTCATAATTCCAAGCACAGACCTCTAAATCGTTTACATAATTCCAAGCAAAGACCTTTAAATCGTTTACATAATTCCAAGCACAGACCTTTAAATCGTTTTCATAATTCCAAGCACAGACCTTTGAATCGTTTACATAATTCAAAGCACAGACCTTTTTAAATCGTTTTGCATAATTCCAAACACAGACCTCTAAATCGTTTGCATAATTCCAAGCACAGACCTTTAAATCGTTTACATAATTCCAAGCACAGACCTTTAAATCGTTTACATAATTCCAAGCAAAGACCTCTAAATCGTTTTCTTAATTCCAAGCACAGACCTCTTAATCGTTTACATAATTCCAAGCACAAACCTCTAAATCGTTTTCATAATTCCAAGCACAGACCTTTAAATCGTTTACATAATTCCAAGCACAGACCTCTAAATCGTTTTCATAATTCCAAGCACAGACCTCTAAATCGTTTATATAATTCCAAGCACAGACCTTTAAATCGTTTACATAATTCCAAGCACAGACCTCTAAATCGTTTACATAATTCCAAGCACAGACCTCTAAATCGTTTACATAATTCCAAGCACAGACCTTTAAATCGTTTACATAATTCCAAGCAAGGACCTTAAAATCGTTTACATAATTCAAAGCACCGACCTTTAAATCGTTTTCATAATTCCAAGCACAGACTTCTAAATCGTTTTCATAATTCCAAGCACAGACCTCTAAATCGTTTTCATAATTCCAAGCACAGACCTCTAAATCGTTTACATAATTCCAAGCAAAGACCTTTAAATCGTTTACATAATTCCAAGCACAGACCTTTAAATCGTTTTCATAATTCCAAGCACAGACCTTTGAATCGTTTACATAATTCAAAGCACAGACCTTTAAATCGTTTGCATAATTCCAAACACAGACCTCTAAATCGTTTGCATAATTCCAAGCACAGACCTTTAAATCGTTTACATAATTCCAAGCACAGACCTTTAAATCGTTTACATAATTCCAAGCAAAGACCTCTAAATCGTTTTCTTAATTCCAAGCACAGACCTCTTAATCGTTTACATAATTCCAAGCACAAACCTCTAAATCGTTTTCATAATTCCAAGCACAGACCTTTAAATCGTTTACATAATTCCAAGCACAGACCTCTAAATCGTTTTCATAATTCCAAGCACAGACCTCTAAATCGTTTATATAATTCCAAGCACAGACCTTTAAATCGTTTTCATAATTCCAAGCACAGACCTTTAAATCGTTTTCATCATTCCAAGCACAGACCTTTAAATCGTTTACATAATTCAAAGCACAGACCTTTAAATCGTTTTCATAATTCCAAGCACAGACCTTTAAATCGTTTTCATAATTCCAAGCACAGACCTCTAAATCGTTTACATAATTCCAAGCAAAGACCTCTAAATCGTTTACATAATTCCAAGCACAGATCTTTAAATCGTTTACATAATTCCAAGCACATACCTTAGAATCGTTTTCATTATTCCAAGCAAAGACCTTTAAATCGTTTTCTTAATTCCAAGCACAGACCTCTAAATCGTTTTCATAATTCCAAGCACAGACCTTTAAATCGTTTTCATAATTCCAAGCAAAGACCTTTAAATCGTTTACATAATTCCAAGCACAGACCTCTAAATCGTTTTCATAATTCCAAGCACAGACCTTTAAATCGTTTACATAATTCCAAGCACATACCTTTAAATCGTTTTCATAATTCCAAGCAAAGACCTTTAAATCGTTTTCATAATTCCAAGCAAAGACCTTTAAGTCGTTTACATAATTCAAAGCACAGACCTTTAAATCGTTTTCATAATTCCAAGCAAAGACCTTTAAATTGTTTACATAATTCCAAGCACAGACCTTTAAATCGTTTTCATAATTCCAAGCAAAGACCTCTAAATCGTTTTCATAATTCCAAGCACAGACCTCTAAATCGTTTACATAATTCCAAGCAAAGACCTTTAAATCGTTTACATAATTCCAAGCACAGACCTTTAAATCGTTTACATAATTCCAAGCACAGACCTTTAAATCGTTTACATAATTCCAAGCACAGACCTCTAAATCGTTTACATAATTCCAAGCACAGACCTCTAAATCGTTTACATAATTCCAAGCACAGACCTTTAAATCGTTTTCATAATTCCAAGCAAAGACCTCTAAATCGTTTTCATAATTCCAAGCACAGACCTCTAAATCGTTTACATAATTCCAAGCAAAGACCTTTAAATCGTTTACATAATTCCAAGCAAAGACCTTTAAATCGTTTACATAATTCCAAGCACAGACCTCTAAATCGTTTACATAATTCTAAGCACAGACCTCTAAATCGTTTACATAATTCCAAGCACAGACCTTTAAATCGTTTACATAATTCCAAGCAAGGACCTTAAAATCGTTTACATAATTCAAAGCACAGACCTTTAAATCGTTTTCATAATTCCAAGCACAGACTTCTAAATCGTTTTCATAATTCCAAGCACAGACCTCTAAATCGTTTTCATAATTCCAAGCAAAGACCTTTAAATCGTTTACATAATTCCAAGCACAGACCTTTAAATCGTTTTCATAATTCCAAGCACAGACCTTTAAATCGTTTACATAATTCCAAGCACAGACCTTTAAATCGTTTACATAATTCCAAGCACAGACCTCTAAATCGTTTACATAATTCCAAGCACAGACCTTTAAATCGTTTTCATAATTCCAAGCACAGACCTCTAAATCGTTTACATAATTCCAAGCAAAGACCTCTAAATCGTTTACATAATTCCAAGCACAGATCTTTAAATCGTTTACATAATTCCAAGCACATACCTTAGAATCGTTTTCATTATTCCAAGCAAAGACCTTTAAATCGTTTTCATAATTCCAAGCACAGACCTCTAAATCGTTTTCATAATTCCAAGCACAGACCTTTAAATCGTTTTCATAATTCCAAGCAAAGACCTTTAAATCGTTTACATAATTCCAAGCACAGACCTCTAAATCGTTTTCATAATTCCAAGCACAGACCTTTAAATCGTTTACATAATTCCAAGCACAGACCTTTAAATCGTTTTCATAATTCCAAGCAAAGACCTTTAAATTGTTTTCATAATTCCAAGCAAAGACCTTTAAATCGTTTACATAATTCAAAGCACAGACCTTTAAATCGTTTTCATAATTCCAAGCAAAGACCTTTAAATTGTTTACATAATTCCAAGCACAGACCTTTAAATCGTTTTCATAATTCCAAGCAAAGACCTCTAAATCGTTTTCATAATTCCAAGCACAGACCTCTAAATCGTTTACATAATTCCAAGCAAAGACCTTTAAATCGTTTACATAATTCCAAGCACAGACCTTTAAATCGTTTACATAATTCCAAGCACAGACCTCTAAATCGTTTACATAATTCCAAGCACAGACCTCTAAATCGTTTACATAATTCCAAGCACAGACCTTTTAATCGTTTACATAATTCCAAGCAAGGACCTTAAAATCGTTTACATAATTCAAAGCACAGACCTTTAAATCGTTTTCATAATTCCAAGCACAGACTTCTAAATCGTTTTCATAATTCCAAGCACAGACCTCTAAATCGTTTTCATAATTCCAAGCAAAGACCTTTAAATCGTTTACATAATTCCAAGCACAGACCTTTAAATCGTTTTCATAATTCCAAGCACAGACCTTTAAATCGTTTACATAATTCCAAGCACAGACCTTTAAATCGTTTACATAATTCCAAGCACAGACCTCTAAATCGTTTTCATAATTCCAAGCACAGACCTCTTAATCGTTTACATAATTCCAAGCACAAACCTCTAAATCGTTTTCATAATTCCAAGCACAGATCTTTAAATCGTTTACATAATTCCAAGCACAGACCTCTAAATCGTTTTCATAATTCCAAGCACAGACCTCTAAATCGTTTACATAATTCCAAGCACAGACCTTTAAATCGTTTTCATAATTCCAAGCACAGACCTCTAAATCGTTTTCATAATTCCAAGCACAGACCTTTGAATCGTTAACATAATTCCAAGCACAGACCTTTAAATCGTTTTCATATTTTTATTCCAAGCCGTTTTAAAGTGGCACAATCACTCACATAAGCCAGTGGAGCCTCTTTGTTGTTTTCCATTCCTTAAGTTTGTGCGGACCTTTAAATCGTTTACATAATTCCAAGCCGTCACTTTGCTGGAATGGTTTGAAAGTGGCACAATCACTCACTGAAGCCGTGAAGCAAAATCCTTAGTAAACCTTGCAGATATCACCCTCAGCTAAGTTCTTATAGATTGTTGCTCTTTGTGTATTTGAGTCAGACTGCGTTTTCAGAGAGACCTGAAGACTTCCCGACGATTACGAAACATCCTGTGGTGACGGCAGCGGCTCGGGGGGACAGGATTCGGCTACATTGCACCTCTAGTGACCCCACGGCCACTGTCACGTGGTACAAGGACAGGTTCCCTCTGAAGCTAACTCAAAGGGCCAAAGTCACCATGAAAGGTACGTTCTAGCATCTCCCACTGCTGCGGACCACTTCACAGTCCGAGTTTGTCCACAGTACCATACACCTGTTGTGTGAGGCACACAAGTAGATCGATAGGTCGCACAGTCAGCCAAGTCACTGATCCGGACCGATGAGGACTGGCGACAGTGTCTGCACTAAATCATAATGATTTATTGAAAACGACGAAAACCTTACAAACACGTGACTCAAACCTCATCAGCTATCCACGGTTATGAAAGTAAGCAGGAGCCAAAATTATTTGCGGTGTTCCGACTAACCCAATCGCACTTGGAACATCAACATATGTCATGGAACAATGGATTAGCCTATTCAGTATACTTTTTCCACGATGAGCCATGCACACAGCTTTGATCCCCAGGAACAAAGCGTAAAGCCCAGTCCTCGTGTTCCTAGCCTTGATATGGTTGAAGTATTGCTTTCCCACAGCCACCCCAGACAATGAGAAAATGGACTATAATATCTTATATGAATTAGGGCATTGAAGGCTGTATTTGTTATGTACATGTACATATATCTCTTAAACCTCTTGTTATTAGGATGTTTTTTATCCGCCCTTTTTTTCATCGTCAGACTGACGGGTCGGTCGCCCGGTCTAAATATAATAAATAATGGGAAAATACCCTCCCTTTGATCGAGAATCCAACAATGTGTTATTTGTTGAGGACGTGCAAACATGGATTCAAAGTTTTATCGACTATTGTGAAGTATTTAAACTGAATCGGCATCGTTGCAGAGAGCTTTGAAGACCCATAAAGAACAATAGCGTTTGTTCCTGTTGTCAAATGTTCGTGCAAATAACACAGCGTGTTTTCAGGGCGGGATGATATATTTGTTCAAGCATGGACTGGAATATTTATTTGTGTATGAGTGGAATAGTGATTTACGAAATGCTGTTGACACATACAACCACATGCAGATGGTCTTACATGATCTTTGTTTCCGGCAGATGGAGCCAGTGAGCTCCGGATCCTGAAGGCGCGGGAGTCGGACTACGGGAAGTACCACTGTTCCATGGAAAATCAGTCTGGCATCGTGTATTCCAAGAGAGCCATGTTATACATACGTCGCGCCGTCAGGAAAGTGTAATGTTTGCCCCAGTAGTCCGTGTTGTGCCGATGCTCGTGTTGTTTGCGTGTACATATGCTTCCCCATGTGCCATTGCTGTGAAGAATACATGTACTTCTAGACACAATTACACTACACTGAAACCTTCATAGCTCGAACTTCAGTAAGTCGAACTCCAATAATATCAACAATCTGTTCCACACTGAAATACCCTACCGTGAAACATCCTTACCTTGAACTTCAGTAAGCTGAACTCTAATAATATCATCAATCTGTTCCACACGGACATAGCCTGCAGTGAAACCTCCTTAACTCGAACGTCAGAAAGCTGAACTCTAATGATATCAGCAATCTGTTCCACACTGAAATACTGTTCAGTGAAACCCCCTTAACTCGAACGTCAGGAAGCTGAACTCCAATAATATCAGCACCATGCTTATCTCGAACGACCAAAATTGAAACAAATATTTGATGTTCCCTCGGACTTTCGGTTACTGAGATCACAAGATTTGCTTATGTTTTATGCAGCTCAGTAGGTGGGCGAGTATAATGAAACTTTGGTTAAATATAACATTCTGTGTAAATCCTGTGGTGATTGGTTCGTTACAAGGATGTAGTTACTTCACAACTCTGTCCTCTTGCATGGCTTTGTATCCAATGACAGTACAATATATAAAGCCCGTGCATTTTCATTGGCTCAGCAGTTGTGTGACGTATCTAGTGGTTAGTTGGAGTAAGGGGCTGAGGCGTGGCAGCTCTATTATTGGACATACACAGGTTCATTCTGTATATTTACTCAACTTCCAAATACATAGTTTCGCTTATAGTCAGTAGGCAGACTCCCTCCTGTTGACGTGAGCATGGTCAACCAGTAATTGACGTCCATTATATGATTAACATAGGCATGAAAAGTCCTTTCCCGGACACGATTAGAGCCCCGATCAAAGGTTTGCCTTTAATATCCCCAAAATAAGATTGATACTGAAATTATCGTTATTGGTCTCTATATGCAACAGTATGAAGGGATTCGTTTTAAGTGTTTAATACAATGAACCCAACCAACATGTTCCATGCCGTAGTTCCCGAGGTTAGTTGTATGGTGTACCGAGGTTAGTTGTATGGTGTACCGAGGTTAGTTGTATGGTGTACCGAGGTTAGTTGTATGGTGTACTGGGGGTAATTGTATGGTGTACAAAATGAGAGCGTCATGTTGTGTCTTTGCTACTTTGTGAAATAAAAAAATAATGTTCTATCACATTGTGTTTCTCGATTTTTCAAGATAGGGGACTGCGAATTTCACGTATATTTCATCGAATGTGGTCCCCGTTTTAGAAACTGGGCTGAGTGGGCATTCGTCATGTCATCGCAGGATCTTCTTTGATGGGCATTTAGAAGTTGAGGTGATGAAGAATGATGATAATTTTATGGATTTACTTCTTTATTCTGTGAAAGGCGACTATGCTTGACAACGACATTAAAATCTATGTCGAAACGTCGCCTTTCACAGAATATAGAAGTTGTATATCCATAAAAGTATCATCACTCTTCATCGCATGATCCTCACACCAGGCTGTCCCTATGAAGATTAGGGTTAGAATTGGTCTCCAGCAAACCAAGCTTGTTGTAAAGGCGATTAACGGGATAGGGTGATCACTGTCAGTCTCGCTTACTTGGTCCCTGGAGTTGCGAAGATTGGTACACATGATGCCATTGACTGATTTGTCTGGTTCAGTCTCCATTAGTTAGAGGTCGTCGTCATTTGGCTCATATAGCTACCGTGGGGCCAAAAAGCAAACCAATCTGGGGAAAGTAAACTAAATCTGACATTTCTATATCCTTTGGGAAACGTGTTCTGAAGAAAACTAAGTACCTATATATGGTTCAAAAGACACAAACAATGATCTGTCGTGCAAACTGTAATGACGGACCACGGAGAACTGAAAAAACCCATCGTTATATCTGGTTGAATTGGGACAGCTCGAAACAGTTTACTACATTTGCACAATGTGAACAAAAGTTAAATGCGCCGTCTTTTCTACTCCGCTGCACTCCGTCTCCTGTCAGGTGACATTTAAGGACCGACTATATTTTTTGGTGCATTAAGTTATGAATCTGAAAAAACTGAATGGTAAACATTGTATCAAAGAGGCCTATTGCGATATTCTTGATTAATGCTTGCCCTATCCGGGAATTGTCTAGCACTGGCACTCGTCAACTTAATACCAAGAGCATTGAGAGCGGATCAGATTATAACATGGATATTTTTTCCTTCCACCAAGACCAAAATACAGATGAATGGTTTAGCGTGTACACTAACTGCAGACACCACACTAGCAGGTCAGCCCATATGTCTACTAACCCCGTTAGTGTATCTACTATGGAGAGACTACACAGACACAACTTTTAGTTCGTTAGTTGGCTCTTTGTTTAACGCTGCACTCAGAAAGTGTCCATCTTCATGATATCGGTCTCCAAATAATAGAGTTTTAACCAGGCAATCCACTGGCCAGTGATTGATGCCACAATCATCGACAATACAGTGTAGTTCGTATAGAAGAATCTTTTTAAAGAAGTAAACCCCTAATTAATTATACTTATTCCTGTTCTATATAACTGGTACGACCGGATATGACGTAGTCGTATGTCATCTGCAAGTGAAGTTTAATTCTCTGAGAACACTAGTCAGACAACAAACAAACTGACTTGAACCTTAATAGAAAAATAAGCTGTGACAAAGTCCAAGTCACAACTACGGTTCCATAGCTGGAGGAATGTTAAAGACGTAGTATATATGATGCGAGGAAATGATATTCAATACACGCTTATCTGCCTACAAGTCTGGCTGTGACCTGGCATATTTTCTTGGATGGTGCCGCCGAGAGTACAGGCTTTAGGATCCGCACGGCAACATGAGGTGAGGCTAACGATTTTTTTATATTATTCTTCGTTTTAGTTTAAAAGTTTTAAAAGAGAGTTTGGCGCCAATTAACGAAGTGCCCTTTGCGCTATGGTTTGCATGGTCTTAGCACAGTTTATCGTTCAGAGATCAGTCTTAAGGACCCAGTAATCCAGTGAAGTCCTAGTACCAAAGTAAGGACCTTGTATTACAGCATGGATCTTGTACCACAGTAGGGACCTTTGGTGTATTCATAATACAGCCCTAGGTCCTCACTGACTGGCTTGAGTATGGTTTTCCACCGCTTTTAGCTATATTCCAGCAACGTCACGTCGGGGGACATCAGAGATGGGCTTCACACATTATACCCATGTGGGGAATCGAACTGGGACCTCAGTGAGGATCTTGTTCAACAGTAAGAACATTGTATCAGAGTATAAACATTGTACCACAGTATTGTAGTGACAGTAAGGACATAGTAAATCAGTAAGAACCTACTATGTGAACCTAGGGACACAGTGATCAGCACCCTGTAGCACAACAAGGTCCTCGTAACACAGTCAAGACCTTGCATCAAAATAAGGGCCTCGGTGGGGATCCAGAGCGGATCACGGAGAACAGATTGTCATATTTATGGCACCGGGTTTCATTGAGAAAACAAGTTATTAGCCTTAATCTTAACAGGTCTGCTTTAACACATAGTAGACTTGGTCTATTTGACCTGGGTCCAATACATGGCTGCAGTGATGCCGACGTGAGGCAATGCACCATATACCTCACTCTCGTGTGACATAACTTGTCAAACAATGAATGAAATTCAACACATTTCAGCCAGACATTCCATTGATTTCTTTTTCCCAAGATATTGTTTTGTATTTGATGGATTTCTACTACGATTCCTTCTGAAATAACACGTTAGTTTCGCATGGGGCCATCGCGTCGGAATACACGAGGGCCAATGTTGGAGAGATATCACACGTTAAGTGTTTCCAGTGAGTGAATATTTGCATCATACACACAAGCTTCTCGTGTAGTTGCCATCCCCGAGGCGCGCCATGGGGGACGTCTGTGATGAAGTTCCTTCTCGAACTTGGAATCAAAATGTCATTCCAAAGCAACTTTTTTCACTTGATTAAGATGCAATTTAACTGAAGATCGCGCTTTTTATAAGGAGGTGTATGGTCAGTGGAACTGACTTGATAAAAAGAAATACACAGTTATGGGTTGCTGGTTGTAATGTCATAACTTGTATAGGGGGAGATGGAGAGAATTTTTCATAACAACACGCTGCAACTATAAATGCAATAAAACCAAGGAGCACCGTCGTGAGTCAGTTAGTGTCTTCCAGAAAATATTTCGCTTGATCGCGTTGTGTCAGTTCAGTGAGGAAGATATCTCATGTAGCGCAAGTCTTGAACATATGCTTTCGAACAGTGAATATTAGGCTGATCGTTATCCTGGCCATTCAGTGTCATGCAGAACCGTGCATGCCCAGGGACGAAATGACCCATCGTCAAAAGAAACGCCGAATGATTGTATTCCAGCAACACTCCTTCAATGTATAACGATTTATTATCAATGTAATCAAGGGTAAGTTTTATCTGACTTTCGTTATTGATAGGTGGTCGTTTGTTTGCAGTTCACAGCTATAAGTAATTCTTCCCTTTTAGTCGCACGGAATTCCAGGATTATCGTACTGTTGAATCTATATATGGCGTTGAGTGGGTGAATCGGATGGCGTTGTTGTAATGAAGGACAACGTTAAAGGCAGTGTTTGGGTTCAGGTCACAGGGACCTGATTTGAATAAATATAATATGATAAGAGTTGTCAGCGCAGGTTTGCCCCGATGGCCTTACAACTCACTTACACTGTGACTTGCGACATGATCCGATCTAGACTCACGAGGCTTGCAATCATTCAAGTGCCTTCTAACTGCGCATTGCGCTATCTCTAACTGAACTACCATCTTGATAATGATTTCAAAGTTATGAATGAAAAGGAAACTTTTTTTGCCTTGGTTATAAGATTTGGTCATCCATAATTTGTATGTTTCCCTTGTCCAACTCAAAATAATCAAGAAGCCGGCGGGCGAACAATATATGTACAAATAAAACTAAAATATTTTTAATAATTGTGTAACTTATTGTATTACATTTAAATATTTAGATCACTTGGTCACAGTCTTAAATAAATTTATGATATTGATCTAGTAGCTTCTCTTGGGAAACAATGTTTTGATAAGTATTGATGAAAAAAGATCAAGCTGATCTGTTCATGTAACCATGTACATGTGTCACAGTATTTTTCCATAGCGTCAGGGTATAATTTTCCTCAGACGGAAAAGAGAGACGGGAAGCATCTTATATTATTTCACGTCAGAATGACAATTCAGGGCGGTCAGGAGATGGGAAACAGATCGAAGTACGGACAGTCTAAAAGAATATCTTCTCTTCCACTGTTAACAATGTCAAGCCTCTAAATGTTTGAAATGATTGACATGCTTTCACGATTATGTTTCAGGTGTATGACACTGACGTTTGTAGCAGCCTTTGTTCTTGGTGTCGCGTCGTGTCAAGACATCGCTCTGTCCACCAGTGGTATGACGGTTCTCAAGGTGGTTTATGGGGCATCTTGTGGCTCAGGCAGAATCCTGGCAGATGAACAATCACTTCTCACAGATTATGTGAAGGCTCTCTGTGACGGCAGGGACGTTTGCTCGGGCATTGTAGACGTGGACGTCTTGAGCGGTGCCATCGGCAGCTGCGACGGCGACTTCCACGTGGTGGCTGTGTGTGAACATGGAGAAATCCGCTCCTATGGTGTGGATGGGGAGGCTGCGGGACAGGAGTTCACCATTGACTGCAGTAGTCGGGAAATCCCCGCCGCCCGTCAACATCCGGACTGGATGGGAGAGATGGAAAATGTTCTGGCAAACAAGACAATCAAAGAGCTTCGTCTTGCGGGCACACACCACAGTGGCACGTTCTCATTCGATATGTTCCTGTACCATCTCGCCAAGTGTCAGAGCATCCGGGTAGGACAGCAGCTGATGGCGGGTGTGCGGTATCTGGACTACAGGCTTGGGGCGATGGAAGAAGCTTATGGAGCTCGAGTAATACACGGCGTCTTCTACGGACAACAAGCTCTCACGGATCTCCTGGAGATATGGGCCTTCTCTCAGCTTCATCCCAGGGAGTTCTTTATAGTTGACTTTCAGCATACGTCAACTCTTGAAACATCGATGCAACGCAAGCTGTCTGTGTGGCTGGATGTGCTGTTCAGGGAGACGGTCATAAACAGATGGACAATCCCTCTCACACGACACACAATGAGGGAGGTATGGGGGTCGGGAAGACGGGTTTTGTTCCTCCACGACAGACCCAGCTCATCCCAGGTGTGGCCTCGTGGGGTGTTGTATGCCCGCTGGCCAAATGTGTGCACTGGGGAAACTCTAGCTGATCACTCGGACAACGAGCTGTTCCAGATTCACGTTCACTATCATCAACTGGTTGTACTTCAGTGGGTCATCACGGTGAAGTTCCAGTGCTTGACGAGTCTTTATGGGCGGTCCCTGGACATCCGAGAGGAAGCCATGCAGTGGCTCCAGCATAACAACCATCCGTTTACCATCGTCCTCACAGACTTTACCCTCCAGCCACTCGAGGAGGAGGGTATAGTGGAACAGATCATCGAGGCCAATAGACATGTGGGCACGTACTGAACAAGTTCATTCTGATGGACACTTAAGGTGCGAAGTCATAGCAGATAAATTGGACGAACTTTTTGAGAACGACACTGTTCATTATCCAACTTATTTTATGTTTCTTATGTTATGATATGATATTTATGTATTCCTAGCTTCGTTTCACTGCTCCACCATCTTCGTTCCGGAAGTGACGTCATCACGTTCCCGTTCTTGACCTTATACCAACAATCGATCCAAATTGCCTTTTCTATTTTCTAAGTTCGACATGGACAACAACATTCAAAATCGCAGCCTCAAACTGGCGAGCCTTGTATATGTTCAGTTGACACAGGTTTTGACATTCTAGTTGGCACTCATGTTATTGCAAATGACAGGATGATGTCTTCACTCTTCAAGACATTCCTAGGGGTAATTGTGACGGTGCTCAACATAGAGATATCGCCACATGTATGAACAGTATGAAATGTTCGGGCGGTTAAATTCAGCGTCGTATGATTCAAACCGGTCTGAAAACGCAGCCTTAATTGGCGAATGGTACCAGGGTTTATATCATATTAGAATGAAGACAATTCACTTGCTAATCGAGAATGAGTGAACGAGGACATTGGGAATATATTGGCAGTGTTTTTCACCTTGATGGACGTCGTTGATGATATACGTTGACAGTAATTGACTGAGAGCGTTGTAATGAGGCAGTGATCAGGGCCGGTTCCTGAATACAGAATTAATAAACTGGAGAGCAAAAACAATGTACACCCAATGTTTGACAGAATGGTTTTCATTGGTGATGTATTTAATGTGGGTATTATAGTTACAGCCTTATGTAGGCGGTGTCACGCGGCTGTTTTCGGCCTAGTAACAGTTTGATAACGTTCTAGTTCTTTTGGTCAAATCCTCTTTTAAAATGGACAGGGGCGGTGGGGTAACCTAGTGGGTAAAGCGTTCGTTCGTCACGCCTAAGGCCCGGGTTCGATGCTCCACATGGGTGCAATGTGTGAAGCCCATTCCTGGTCCCCCGCCGTGATATTGCTGGAATATTGCTAAAAGCGGCGTTAAACCCAACTCACTCACTTTAAAGTGTACATTTCGTTTGTATGCAGTTGAGTAGTTATGACTGGAAAATCAGCCTTAATGCAAGTGTAGATGAAACAAAATTGATATCGTCACAACTGATGCGGAATACCCAACTGACTGTATATGTAGGGTGTATATAGAGTGTCAAAGCTGTTAACGTCATTGATGGTATGTCTGTCACTGAGTCAGTGTTGAGCAGTGCCGTGCAGGGTCACATCCCTTGGCCGTGCCTGGTTCGGTGAGTTCGATTAACCAGCTACATGATTTGTTGTAATATGATTTCGACACAAGAAACACTATTGAAAGCAATTAATTGTTTTTATGAGTTTGCTTTACGAAGGCAATAGGTACCCAAAATTGCTGAAGGTGTCGGAATTTCCCTATTGTCCCATCAAGGATGTCCGTGCATGTATTGAACAGTTTGTGCCGTTGTGAGAGTATGTCATACTGCGAAAGAAAAGGCGACTTAAATATGCTTGAATATATATAAGTGGTAATACTAGTAGCGGTAGTGTAGTAGAACTAGTAGTAGTTGCAGTAGTAGGTGTAGTAGTAGTGGTAGTAGTAGACTGAGGAAAAAGAATGGGACTGATGCAGTTTTCAGTCACGTATTGTGCCTGTACCACTGACGTATATGTGTGTGGCCGCCATATTGGTTTCAATGTTGTTGTTCTCCACGCGTCTCCCTTAGTGCCACTTTGCGCAATATCACATCTGGCACACGACTATTAGACAAGGAACAGACATTTCATGCTTCCTATTTCTTCATCTATTTGAGATGATTATGTCCTGTAATATCATACCTGTCTACATCGTCAGCCCCGGGGACAGGTGTTAGTCATTATGGAATTACTGAGGCTGATTAGTCTTGGGCAGGGAGTATCAGAAAATGTTCACATGCTTGTGAAGGTATATTTAAAACTCATATGTGAGAGGATGGAGTTAGGGAGACACGCTGGACTGAGGGATAGAATAGTGGTTGGATGGGTTTGGAGACTGAGATTGGGTGGTCATAGTGATGGAAAGGATTAGCTGTGACGGTGGATCATGAGCTGGAAGATGGGCAATTGGTATGGGTGTAGTATTGTGGACTGGTCGGGTGGGTCATAGGAGTGGCGGAGTGAGGTGGTGTGTTGTGTTGAGGGCTGGTCGGGTGGGTCATAGAAGTGGCGCAGTGAGGTGGTAGAGAAGTGGTGCTGTGAGGTGGTATGTTGTGTTGAGGAATGGTCGGGTGGGTCATAGAAGTGGCGCAGTGAGGTGGTATAGAAGTAGCGCTCTGAGGTGGTATGTTGTGTTGCGAACTGGTCGGGTGTGTCATAGAAGTGGCGCAGTGAGGTGGTAAAGAAGTGGCGCTCTGAGGTGGTATGTTGTGTTGAGGAATGGTCGGGTGTGTCATAGAAGTGGCGCAGTGAGGTGGTATAGAAGTGGCGCTCTGAGGTGGTATGTTGTGTTGCGGAGTGGTAAGGTGGGTCATAGAAGTGATGCAGAGAGGAGGTGTGTTGTGTTGCGAAGTGGTCGGGTTGGTCATAGAAGTGACGCAGTGAGGTGGTATAGAAGTGGAGCAGTGAGGTGGTATGTTGTGTTGCAAAGTGGTCGGGTGGGTTATAGAAGTGGCGCAGTGAGGTGGTATAGAAGTGGCGCTCTGAGGTGGTATGTTGTGTTGCGAACTGGTCGGGTGTGTCATAGAAGTGGCGCAGTGAGGTGGTATAGAAGTAGCGCTCTGAGGGGGTATGTTGTGTTGCGGAGTGGTCGGGTGTGTCATAGAAGTGGCGCAGTGAGGTGGTATAGAAGTGGCGCTCTGAGGTGGTATGTTGTGTTGTGAACTGGTCGGGTGTGTCATAGAAGTGGCGCAGTGAGGTGGTATAGAAGTGGCGCTCTGAGGTGGTATGTTGTGTTGAGGAATGGTCGGGTTGGTCATAGAAGTGGCGCAGTGAGGTGGTATAGAAGTGGCGCTCTGAGGTGGTATGTTGTGTTGCGGACTGGTCGGTTGTGTCATAGAAGTGGCGCAGTGAGGTGGTAAAGAAGTGGCGCTCTGAGGTGGTATGTTGTGTTGAGGTATGGTCGGGTGGGTCATAGAAGTGGCGAAGTGAGGTGGTATGTTGAGTTGCGGACTGGTCGGTTGTGTCATAGAAGTGGCGCAGTGAGGTGGTATAGAAGTCGCGCATTGAGGTGGTATGTTGTGTTGCGGAGTAGTCAGGTGGGTCATAGAAGTGATGCAGAGAGGAGATGTGTTGTGTTGCGGAGTGGTCGGGTGGGTCATAGAAGTGGTGCAGAGAGGAGGTGTGTTGTGTTGCGGAGTGGTTGGGTGTGTCATAGAAGTGGCGCAGTGAGGTGGTATAGAAGTGGTGCTGTGAGGTGGTATGTTGTGTTGAGGACTGGTCGGGTGTGTCATAGAAGTGGCGCAGTGAGGTGGTATAGAAGTAGCGCTCTGAGGTGGTATGTTGTGTTGCGGAGTTGTCAGGTGGGTCATAGAAGTAATGCAGAGAGGAGGTGTGTTGTGTTGCGGAGTGGTCGGGTGGGTCATAGAAGTGGCGAAGTGAGGTGGTATGTTGTGTTGCGGAGTGGTTGGGGGGGTCATAGAAGTGGCGAACTGAGGTGGTATAGAAGTGGCGCAGTGAGGTGGTATGTTGTGTTGCGGAGTGGTAAGGTGGGTCATAGAAGTGATACAGAGAGGAGGTGTGTTGTGTTGCGGAGTGGTCGGGTGGGTCATAGAAGTGACGCAGTGAGGTGGTATAGAAGTGGAGCAGTGAGGTGGTATGTTGTGTTGCAAAGTGGTCGGGTGGGTTATAGAAGTGGCGCAGTGAGGTGGTATAGAAGTGGCGCTCTGAGGTGGTATGTTGTGTTGCGAACTGGTCGGGTGTGTCATAGAAGTGGCGCAGTGAGGTGGTATAGAAGTGGCGCTCTGAGGTGGTATGTTGTGTTGAGGAATGGTCGGGTGTGTCATAGAAGTGGCGCAGTGAGGTGGTATAGAAGTGGCGCTCTGAGGTGGTATGTTGTGTTGCGGAGTGGTAAGGTGGGTCATAGAAGTGATGCAGAGAGAGGTGTGTTGTGTTGCAGAAGTGGTCGGGTTGGTCATAGAAGTGACGCAGTGAGGTGGTATAGAAGTGGAGCAGTGAGGTGGTATGTTGTGTTGCAAAGTGGTCGGGTGGGTTATAGAAGTGGCGCAGTGAGGTGGTATAGAAGTGGCGCTCTGAGGTGGTATGTTGTGTTGCGAACTGGTCGGGTGTGTCATAGAAGTGGCGCAGTGAGGTGGTATAGAAGTAGCGCCTGAGGGGTATGTTGTGTTGCGGAGTGGTCGGGTGTGGTCATAGAAGTGGCGCAGTGAGGTGGTATAGAAGTGGCGCTCTGAGGTGGTATGTTGTGTTGCGAACTGGTCGGGTGTGTCATAGAAGTGGCGCAGTGAGGTGGTATAGAAGTGGCGCTCTGAGGTGGTATGTTGTGTTGAGGAATGAACGGGTGGGTCATAGAAGTGGCGCAGTGAGGTGGTATAGAAGTGGCGCTCTGAGGTGGTATGTTGTGTTGCGAACTGGTCGGTTGTGTCATAGAAGTGGCGCAGTGAGGTGGTATAGAAGTGGCGCTCTGAGGTGGTATGTTGTGTTGAGGTATGGTCGGGTGGGTCATAGAAGTGGCGAAGTGAGGTGGTATGTTGTGTTGCGGAGTGGTCGGTTGTGTCATAGAAGTGGCGCAGTGAGGTGGTATAGATGTCGCGCAGTGAGGTGGTATGTTGTGTTGCGGAGTAGTCAGGTGGGTCATAGAAGTGATGCAGAGAGGAGATGTGTTGTGTTGCGGAGTGGTCGGGTGGGTCATAGAAGTGGTGCAGAGAGGAGGTGTGTTGTGTTGCGGAGTGGTTGGGTGTGTCATAGAAGTGGCGCAGTGAGGTGGTATAGAAGTGGTGCTGTGAGGTGGTATGTTGTGTTGAGGACTGGTCGGGTGTGCCATAGAAGTGGCGCAGTGAGGTGGTATGTTGTGTTGCAGACGATTTTGGTGTGTCATAGAAGTGGCGCAGTGAGGTGGTATAGAAGTGGTGCAGTGAGGTGGTATGTTGTGTTGCGGAGTTGTCGGGTGGGTCATTGAAGTGGCTCTTTGAGGTGGTATGTTGTGTTGAGGACTGGTCGGGTGTGCCATGAAAGTGGCGCAGTGATGTGGTACGTTATGTTGCGGAGTGGTCGGGTGGGTCATAGAAGTGGAGTAGTAAGGTGGTATGTTGTGTTGCGGAATGGTCGGGTGGGTCATAGAATTGGCGAAGTGAGGTGGTATGTTGTGTTGCGGAGTGGTCGGGTGGGTCATAGAAGTGGCGCAGTGAGGTGGTATGTTGAGTTGCGGAATGGTCGGGTGGGTCATAGAAGTGGCGAAGTGAGGTGGTATGTTGTGTTGCGGAGTGGTCGGGTGGGTCATAGAAGTGGCGCAGTGAGGTGGTATGTTGTGTTGCGGAATGGTCGGGTGGGTCATAGAAGTGGCGCAGAGAGGAGGTGTGTTGTGGTAGATGAGGAACTGTGGAGACACTTAGGATAAGGAGGGATCTGTCAGCTGTGGTGTGGTGGTGGAGATTGAGGGAGCGGTGTCAATGATGGTGTGGAGAGTGGATAGGGTGGGAAGCTGATACAAATGTTTACGTTGCTGGATTAGCACTCTGAGATCATGTGTGATTGGTATATAAAAGCATGCATTGTTTTTGTGTCATAGATTTTAGCACGCTTAATATATAGGTAATATATTAGACCTTAACTGTCTCGTGGACATATGTCATATCTCCGGTGTACACGATGAATCTTTCCGTGACTTATATGTCACCAGCAGCACAGACGCCAGTACAGACTATATCGTCCTCAGTATGCGGCCTATATGGTATATGACACCTGATAAGGAGCAGTCCGGGCTCCTTAACGGCAGGGTAATCTATCCTTATTATGATTAATTTCTTAATTTCGACTCCTGATATTTTCATGCGGAGACATACCTCTCAATAATTTCCTCTGCTGGTGCCATCTTAATCTTTCCTGCGTATTAATCCCAATATTGTCGTAAATATAACCCCTCCGCTTGCCTTCATACGTGATCAGAGTTGTTATATTGGTAAGTCGAGGCAATAAACAATCAGGTTTCGGACAGGTGTGGTCTTTAAGTGATTGATTTGTCACTTAAGACCATTGCTAGAATGGCAGGAAACTATCACCGCAAATTGAATTCATTCGATATTCTAGCTGCACACAATTTCTACTTAGAAAAGTTACATCTACATGGTAAACATAAACATGCAGTGTTGTACTAGGTAGTGTACGTTGTACATAGTAGTGTACGTTGTACACTGGTAGTTGAACGTGTCAGGAATTAACAGAAACGTTGGTAGTATTTTGACTGGCTTTATTACTTATTACCTGACATCACGCACGCCCATACAAACACCAGTTCAACACTACTAAAACCACTATTCAGACTAGATAACATACATGTATGTAAATATAGATCCACATGAAATGGAGCACCATATGTACACTCATTTACAACACAGAGCACACACATACCCTTACGGCAAAACGTATGCATACAAGTATTTCCTACCAAATTGAGTATCTTGAAATTCGTTGTCTCTACAAATCTCAGAAAAAGTGTCAACGTGGCCAGGTTATCCTGTTTACTAACTCCCGATAGGATTGAAATGATACATACTAGAATACAACTTTTCTTATCGAAATCTGTAGTTTGCGAATGATAAATGAGAACTGTGACGTTAAGTAATCGGTCTGAGCGAAAAAAAAACCCAAACAAGTTGTATGGATAGTCAACTTCTTTATTGCATTTGGTGCGACGTTTCGGTGTAGGTACTAACACCGTTATCAAGTAAGTGATAACGGTTTTAGTACCTACACCGAAACGTCGCACCAAATGCAATAAAGAAGTTGACTATTCATACAACTTGGTTTTAATTCATCTATCCAACTTCTAACATGCCTCTCAAAGAAGTAAATCGGTCTGAGCCACAAATCGAGCTAAATGAGTTTGCGTAGAAGAGGTTTCACTCTTTAGTGTTCATCTTTACTAACCTGTCAACAAACATACTCCAGGCCAAACCTTCGTTGCCAACACATCCTGCTGATGACCCCTATCAGCAGGATCTGCAGCAAACACAGTCCACCTTGTGAGGCCATAATCAAATAATTCTTAGAATTTAATTCCAGCCCGAATGACCATACAACCCGAACTTGACCACCGCACACGTAGTCCTACCAAACATGCATCACGTGAAGTACGTCAATGGACAGCTAGTGTACACAGATACCCTGAATGATTTGCCTGGACATTGAGACAATGTATAATTCATATACTATCATGTCTTCCTCTTCACATTTTGGTTTCCTGATTTAGTGACAAATTCATTGTGAACTTCAATTACTCACACAATGTCCCACTCGGTTTAGTTGGATAATCCACCAATATCTTCATCGCGATCAACGTTCAGTAGTGAAAAAGTAGATGAATAAAACACATTATCTAAACAAACTGCAAATCTGACAAACCTGACTGAAGTCTTTTTACCCCTGAGGGTATTTGTGCATATGTGGTTGTAAAAGTCATTTGAGTAAATGCATATCAACAATCTGACCACATTCTGATTAACCCATGGGTAGACTCAGACGTCTGCATACATCGTGTCTCTCCCAAGATAGCTTTCCAACATTGTTAACAGAAGAATCAATGGGATTTTGGTTTCTGTTCTACTTGCGTTGAGGACTTTTTCTTGAACTAGACCGAGAAAATAGAATTTGGATGAATAAACAATCTCGTGATTGGTGAAGTCATGCTGTCTGGGAAATCGTTGAAAACGATCAGTTGTAAAATTTAACTTCCATAAGATGAAACTCCAATATTCGATGTGCATAACCTCGTCCAACTCTGTCTCACTGTTGCAAACATTCACCTTCTTCCCATTTGTCAGCTCATGTTTAAGCAGATATACTTTTTGCATATATTTACCAAAGGAATGTCTACCAACATGTATATGGTTTACATGACAAATGTTATCATCCCGATAAGTCTTCATGTCGTGGAGGCTCATAGTGCCACAAATGTCGGAGGAACTGAAGAAAGAAGACCATTATAGAACCACGTACACTTCTGCGTTTAACAGTACGATATGCTTTGATCCCACAGCTTATATATACTCGGAAGTATATGGGCATAGTGAGTGTAGTACTACAGCGAACGGCTTACACAACATACATATGTCGTGATGGATGGAGAGATAACCTGTACCACCGCACCACCTTTCGTAACGGTGTTTAGAGTGACATTGTCCAATGTTAGTCACCATTCTGATCGTGTCCCTTTTACACCAACATTGAAACATTGCAATGTAGTTCATATTCCATACACCACTATTTTGTTGCACTGAAGCGCCAAAATGTTCTCGTATGTTGCAAATGAGCTCTGCCCTGATGGTCATGTTACAGAATGTATAAATAGAGAATTTCACAAAGCCATTCAATACCACGTTAGCAGCAATGTCCGTACGTTTCAGCACCTCTGCTTGTGAGCGCTGAAACATTGTCCACACTTCGTAACTCATCTCCATGCCAGCACTGCATCAATATCAGTGATGTGTCCTCGCACCATCTTGTGGGCACTGCAACAACTCCATTTGTCCGTAGAACATAACTAAGGCAGCATGACGAGCAGTCTTAGTAATCAGCATGTCGTGTAATCAGCATGTTGTGTAATCAGCATGTCGTGTAATCAGCATGTCGTGTAATCAGCATGTTGTGTAATCAGCATGTCGTGTAATCAGCATGTCAACATGTCGTGTAGTGTGTAGCCATTGAGTGTTTGATGCTTCCACGACTCCAACAGATCACTATTGCAGCAGTTATAGGAGGTTACCATTGAGTATTACATGCTCCTGTGGCGACCTTAAGACTCGTAGAGTGTCATAAGAATTCCGTGACCACGATTTTGTCCAGAGTTTTGTCCACGATTTTGTCCTGTGAGTACGTTACGACTCGTGACGTGGCATCAGAATTCCGTGACCCCGGTATTGTCCAGTGCTTTGTCCACGAGCTTTCCTGTGAGTACATTACGACTCGTGGAGTGGCATCAGAGTTCCGTGATCACGATACACTTCTGTCCAGTGATTTTTTGTTCAGGATTTTGTCCTGTGAGTACGTTACGACTCGTGAAGTGACATCAAAATTCCATGACCCCTGTATCAGTGTTTCGTCCACGAGTTTGTCCTGTGAGTACATTACGTCTCGTGAAGTGGCATCAGAATTCCGTGGCCACGGTATTGTCCAGTGTTTTGTCCACGAGTTTTTCCTGTGGGTACGAAACGACTCGTAGAGCGTCATAGGAATCCCGTGGCTAAGGTATTGTCCTGTGTTTTGCCCACGGTACAGTCCTGTGGGTACGTTACAACAAATGCCTCCGATACGACTTAAGCTTCTGAGAAAACGGTACGACTCCTGCTTACATCATAGGATTCCGACTCCTTCCCGATGTAACGACGTCCACTGCAAGAAATATACCGACATTAGGGAATTTAACTTAAACGATAACAAATGGGATTCTCGACTTAAAATTCTTTGTTGGAATGATAATCTGTAGAAACAAAAAAAGTTAAAAAGTTGCCCAAATGATTCTGATATGAACTTTAATACTTGAACACTGACGTTTATCTTATCTACGTCAGTCATTTTAACATGTGGTCGTTACCATCACCAACCTATAGTTTTAAAACTGGGCCTGTATTTGTATCGTATACTTCGACCATTAAATGGAATCTTTCTTCCGAATCTCACTTAGTCGTACCTTTACAGAGGACACATTTGGGGTAGTACACTAAAAAATGGTAAATGAAAATATTGTCACGGTGATCAGATAACCAATACCGGACAGACACTGTAAGATATGTTTTCAGTTGGTGCTTTTATACATTATATGGATATTGACAATAACTAATGGACTCGCAACAAAGGGCTGCGATAATTTATATCTACTTCGCTGCCGACTTCCACAATGTCAACATCTACAAGACAGAGCCTAGTCAGCATTATACGTGTACCCTTTGGTTGTGGAGAGAGGCTCCAGTTCATCTGCAAGAAAGAGAGACAAAGCCATATTAATTGTACCACAAAATATTGTACTCTACACATAAATAATGAACACTACAAATTAATTTGAAATTGTTATTTGACATGAACACATTTAAGACAGCAATCGTTTCCCCGCAACATTTTGATGGTAGATTGCGATTTGTAACGAGAACGTAGAGTAGTGGCGGCGATTAATTTCGCCCATCGCTTTATGCCATGGAACTCATTATAAAACACACTCAGGGAGAACGTCTTCAGGTCGTGCCTGGATGACAACTGTAAGCATTTCATCGATCTTCCACTCTTTTACAGCACACGTAAAACTATCTCTCTAGCCTTTACTTCTATGGTGACACTTCGATCTACAGTCATTAGGGTCCTTCTCATAACTTAATTGCTCAATGAGAGAAAATACCGACCGTGCTTAAATCTCTATCACCTCGTCTCCTACAGCTTGACGAAATGTAAATCAGACAATTCTGACGTTGCTAGATTTGCGGTCGTGCGACGTTGATGACGCTATGATAATGAACTCACGGTTGTTGTATCTGCGCATGTCCTTGCCATCACAAGGGATGTGGATACAGGAACACACGGACCGGAACTCCTTCCGAAACTTGCCTTTCATAATAAATATATATATATATATATATACGTCAGAAAATTGTAATACATTTTGTGAATACCTGTGTTCATTTAAGAATGCGACGTGACTTTTAGATTTTTTGACACACAACATATACACTCAAATGATAGCCTGTAAGGTACGTCCAAAGAACGGATGAGTTGACCAGAGTTCATTTATTTTGAGCGTCCCTAGCTTTGACCTGGGACTTATAACAAACTGTTAGCTATTTGTAACTGCATTATTCAAGCTCATGACCTCAGTAGCCAGCTTGAAGTAACAACACTATTCTGGCTGATTTGACCTCATTGTCTTTCTGAATCATGACATACATGTTAATAATACCTACCGCTCATGAAGTTGTAGATGATTGGGTTGATGGAGCTGTTGAAGTAGACGAGCCAGTGAGCTGTGAGGGTGCAGATAGACACTGAGTGTGGATGGATCATAGCTATCAGTGGACTGTCGGTCAACCTGGAGGAGATTAAAGATCAGTATATACCTTCAATCGTTGAACCACTATAGTGTGTCACATGTACTAATATACAACACATGTATGGTATTTTTAGATAAATCAAACAGAAACAATACCGCAAAAAATGTCTGGAAATTGGTGAGTCTTTCAGATGAACCCAGCTTGACATGACTTGACATGTAATAGCCTTCAATATATTATTTAAACGAGTTCATTTACTACGAGAGACAGTCATTCCAGGAGCTGAGACTCATTATGTAATTCCCACATACAATGTAGGTACAATGCATGATACCCATGCCGTGACATTGCTGAAATATTGCTGAAAGCGGCATGTAGCCGTAATCACTCACTCCCTCACTCACTCATCATGCAATTTCAATAAACATCTTGCAACTTTAACCTTCATGAGATATAAAAACGATCATGAACTAACAAAATTAAACACAGCCTTAAAACTTGTGACTCGAAAGTCTCAAGAAATAAAAATACATGACATCTTTGCCCAGATAGTTTCAGGCTGGTATTATACAAATTCATTTGAAAATGTAGGTTAGTAGCTATCTTCAAAATCTGTTAGTCTTGCAATGAATAAAGAGGGGGTTGGTGATCAATTAGACTCATAGCATACATTCACATAAAAATATAACAAATGATAATATATAACGAAAAGGGAGAAGAATTTTTATATCAAATAATGGCAAAAGATACGCTCCTGCTGAATTGCCCACAACACGGGGCCACCAATAGCAGGCCGGTTCATGAGAACGGTTGGAAAAACAACAAGAGTAATACATGACGTTATGGGTTAATGAACAGACAGATTGATTTTGAAATGGTCCTTATTATTTTTGTTGATCGTTGCGAGAGGCATATTTAAACTTTCGGCCTACGATGCAAAGCTTAGTTCAGTGAGACTTATTTCAGGCAGATATTTATGCTTGAAAGGTTTGGAGTTGCGGTAAACGTGTGGATTCATGTTCCACGTGAGGGACTCACTTTCTAATCAGTGTCAGGTATACACAGATCTTCTTTATCAACTTTCACTTGAAAACAGGGAGGACATACTCACTACCTGATCAATTTCGCATGTATACAGACCTTATCAGCTTCCTACCTCATCAGGTTCTACGTGTATATGGACAGGAAGCACAGACCTACCTCATCAGGTTCCACGTGTATATGGACAGGAAGCACAGACCTACCTCATCAGGTTCCACGTGTATATGGACAGGAAACACAGACCTACCTAATCAGGTTCCACGTGTATATGGACAGGAAGCACAGACCTACCTCATCAGGAGCGTCCACGTGTATATGGACAGAAAACAGACCTACCTCATCAGGTTCCACGTGTACATGGGAAGGAAACACATAATGAACACCAGCACCACCACTATCAACATCCGGGCAGCCCGTCTACGAGCTTGTACTTGAGCCGTCACTGCCGACTGTTCTCCCTCTGTAACAAGGGACTGTATGTCAGTGTTTATATCAAGAAATATCCTTCGAGACGTAATTGAGAGTTAAACGGTTCAAAAAGTGTTTTCTTTGTGCCTGAAAGTTCCGTACATTCACAGTGGCATTGATTGTAAGGGAATCGTTACAAAAGAAGCTATTTCTCAGAACCCTTCCAAACTTGAACAAATAATGTCAAATAATGTTTTCTAATATACATGTGCAGTAGTACGTTCATAATGAAACGTCGTGCCCATTAACGTCAGAATATGTCAGTCATTTTATCACATTATTTATGTGAACAAAGACAACGCATTTTACATGTAATTGATAAAGGAACTATTGTTAGATGTTATTATCTCTTTTACGATTAATTTTGTAAAAGTTTGTAAAACATAAAGAGCGACTCTGTAATGTTTCCGTAAGAATACACTGGTTCATTAAATCCTGAAGTAAGAAATGGATGTGCAGCCTGCACTACTTGAAAAGAACATTTATGCCGAAAGAAACCCCCATTTTGTATATAATTGATGTCAAAGCGCAAGTAGTTCATACTATAAATATAGTTTTCTTACTGTCCTCTGCTCATATTGCAATGTACAGATACTCAAAGGTTTACTGGTTGCTACTCATAGCTGGTGTGATCCTAAACAAACGATCGGTCACAAATGTTCACTTTCAAGGCGAAAGCCATTATGCAAACAAGGTGAAGAACATCTATCAAACACTCTAAATAAAGAAGATTAGTGAAGTGTGTACAGAGTCGAAAACTAGGAAGTTGCAACGCAGCTGAATGTGAACTGCATCTCGCAAGTGAGATAAAGTTGGCAATGTGACGTCATTAGTGTTATTCTGGACATGTGCCAGGTAAAATTGGGTATGGTCAGTCATCTTCATAGATTTGTTTGGACTTATTCACGTTAAATGTTAATGTCAGATGTCTCCCCCACCCCCTACAATAGACCGGAGTCCAAAATGTTCGTCGACATAGCCTGCTTGTTTGGACAAGAAATATTCTTGCTGAATGTTGTGAAGTTTCTGCCTTCCACTTTCGTCGCATAATGGAACTGAGGTAATTGGTAACAACAGGTTCTCACAGCCATTTGAACCTGGAGAACTTGATGGATTGGTCCTTACTGTTGGTGGCACTATAGAAGGTGTATCTGGACTGGAGTACCCTGCAGGACGCTGACTGAATACAGCTTGAGGATGTATACGGTACAACTTCCATCATTTCTCGCCTATGCTTTGGGGTACATGTTACGGACACCCAATATCCCCTTTGCAAATTCTTGACTGCCTTATTGTGAATTCAAGAAATTACCAACCTACCCACTGTGTCAGTTTTAAGAGCAACATCACACAATTTCATGTCAGTGTACGGTTCACACTACAGATGCCACAATGAGTGTCAAGTGGATTACCTAAGGCTGATTAAAATGTACATAAACGTCACGCAGCTTTGCAGGTAGGTGGATTCGATATTAATATATATAATATGACGATATGACGTGTGTCGTCATTTGCCCCCTTGAGCCCCTGAACATGTTTTCAACAGGGTGTTTTGGTTCTAATTGTCATGAACGAACTTATCAACGTACGATTGATCATATATTTGTTAAGGAAAATACCCAATCACAAACCTCCGTGGTCCACTGTGTACCCCAGGGATCGGTACTCGGTCCGCTTCTTTTCAAAGCATACACGACCGATGTTGCAGACGTAATTGACAAAGATGGCACTTGCTATAATTCGTTTGCAGATGACACCCAACTTTAGAAAAACTCAACTCCCAAGGCCTTTTACACTGGTCTTAATAAAATAACAGCCTGTACTAAAGATGTGAAGTCATGGATGACAAACAACATGTAAAGTTAAATGATGACAAAACTGAGGTGATGGTTGTTGGATCCAGGCAAATGCAAAAAACAAACAAATTACCACCAGTACTAGGTACTATTCTGGTAGCAGATGCAGAGATCCAACCAATGGACTCTGTTAAAGACCTCGGAGTTACACTTGACTCACACCTGGCAATTGACACCCATGTTAATCAACTCTGCAGAATATACTTCTTTGATCTACGAGCCATTGGCAGAATACGTTATCTCAACAGTCGTGATGCAGCACACGGTCTAGTCCAGGGACTTATTATATCAAGAACTGATTATTGTAATAGCCTCCTGTTTGGTATTTCTCAGAAGCTGCTATCAAAATTACAAAATGTCCAGAATACAGCCTCCCGAATCATACATGAACTTATAAGCACTCCTACATAACACCTGTCATAAAAACCTGCACTGGCTGCCTGTTAAATCAAGAATTGACTTTAAGATATTGTGTTTTGTGTACAAATGCCTCAATAGCAAAGGCCCAGAATACTTAAAAGAACTTCTTACCCCATACACTCCAGAAACATAGCTCCGTTCTCAGAATCTGAACCTACTCTCTGTGCCTCGTTTCAAACTGCAAACCTTTGGAAGGAAATCCTTTGCCTGTTCTGCCCCTCTACTCTGGAACTCTCTCCCTATCACCATTTAATCAGCAGTTGACTTTAATTCCTTCCAACGACTTCTCAAGACTCATCTGTTTTTACTGTACATGTATGTATATACGTATACTATCCACCCACTTTGTTAGCGCTTTGAACATGGGCCTTGTGCATGGAAAAGGCGCATTATAAGTACACATTTATTATTATTATTATATACCCCCCGTCAAAAGTTTAGACTCACTAGTGTAAATGTAGCCACTTACTTCAGTCAACTCTTCTAAACTAGATTTTGCAAAATTGCCCATACTGTTTAAAGGTATTGTTTACACATGAACTGATGTATTGTAAAACAAATTCGTTACGTTGAAAAGATTATTGTCATGGGTTAATAAAAATGATGAAACTGATTGAAAATTGGCGAAATTTTAACAAAATATTACACCACAACACAGCTGTTCACATGCACGATATTTGCACATGCTTTTTAAAAATTAAATGAATGATCCTCGTGCAATTCATCTGCATAAAGTTTGCAGTTGTTCCCCAAAGTTAGTGGAGAAATTCATCTTCGATGTAACCACACATATATGCATAACATATAGAGTGCTTTAAATGAGTCTTAACTTGTGATGGGTAGTATATTATTATCATAAGGAGCTGGGGTGGATCTTTAGCTTTAAAATCACCATGTTGTTTGGTGAAGCCATCCTTCATCATTTCATTGACCAAGGCAACTCGATCTCACCATCGACTGGCACTGACGTTAGTATAACGTGTCAGGTATATTTGAAAGAAAAGGGAATGTTACAGTATGTTCCAAATGGAGGCACAATGGAGATAACAAGGTAACAGGTTATCAGGGGTACCACATTCTCGAGGAGGAAGGACTTTGACGAGATTTGCTTGTTCACTTGTACGAGTTTTAGTTTTACGTCCGCCATGCTTCAGGTACGTTCGATGGGTGGTCTATCAACTCGATATCCCCCATTTCATAGCCTGTTCAGTGGTGCTGATCTCATTTCAAAGTGTAGTGTTGATCCACCACAACGAGTTGGTTAATATCTGGGGGTTCGAGCTGCTCATCTGACCAACCATCTACAACTCATCAACTTTGACATAGTTGATTACTTCAGCGTGCTGGGATGGACTCCCCTTTCCTTTCTACTTAAGGTATTGCTGCTTTGATCTGAGAACATCACGTGTTTGAGAAATTGTCAAGTCAATAAGCAGAGACAAATCTTGATTGTATTTTCTAAAAAATGTCCATAGAGTGAGTTGGGTTCGTGTTCCTCCTATTAACCTTTCCTACGGCAATGGAAGACTAGAAAAGGATCACGTGTAAATCCGGAGGGGCTAAGGTTTCAAGATCTCTAACATTTCATCTGACGTTGTTAATCCACATAAACCCGCAATATGTCAAACTCATATCATGTATTTTGTGTAGTGTTTTGTTTTCTCGATCAGCCCATAAAAACGTCGTTGCCCATCTCCACAAACCTCGACGACACCACCTTTCGTGACCGCTCACTTAGTATAGTATCAAAAACCTTTACCTCTGGAATATCACATGTATGTATGTATGTATGTATGTATGTATGTATGCATGTATGTATGCATGCATGTATGTGTGTGTGTGTGTATGTATGTATGCATGTATGCATGCATGCATGCATGCATGCGTTTTCGTACAACTATGTGAATACAATGACTAAATGCATGTGCTAACATTAAATGAATTTCACATTTATTGTCTATATTTGACATCATCATCATCACCATCACAGAAAGTGAAGACTGTCCCATCAGCTGCCAGGGTTACAGGTTCTGTATTCTGTGATGGAGATGCTGTCATTGTCATAACTACAATGCACTAGTATAACTTCATCAATCTCTTAATTCATCTGATCTGGCTCCGTTACACTTATGTCTCTTCCCAAACATGAAGGAAGCTCTTGTGTGAAACTTTCTGAAGAGATCGGTGAAGCCATGGAAGCTGTGAATGACTGTTTGGGTACACTAAGTGGAAGACATTTTCGAAACCGTGATAAAATCCATCCATCATCGTCAACAATATGTCAGTGGAAGGGGAGTGTGTTAAAATACACCGTGACATTTCTACACATTGACAGAAAGATACTCAGATATGTTCAGAGAATATAAAGAACTTTCAAAGAAAGATAATCAGATACTATGAAGAGCATTCACAGAAAAATACTGTCTCAGATACGGCGAGGGATTTTAAAAGAGCATTCATTCCACAGAAAAGAAATACTGTCTCAGTCTCAGAGCACGTCTCAGATATGGCGAGGGTTTTATAAAGAGCATTCACAGAAATATACTTTCTCAGATATGGCGAGGGGTTTTATAAAGAGCTTTCACAGAAATATACTGTCTCAGATATGGCGAGGGGTTTTATAAAGAGCTTTCACAGAAATATACTGTCTCAGTTTCGGCCAGGTAATATAAAGAGCATCTGTCTCAGATATGGCGAGGGGTTTTATAAAGAGCAT